CGCAACTACCTGAGGAGTAAGAAGGTGAAGGGAGGAAAGGGGAAGCAGCTTGTGAAGCCGGCGGGGACGAGGTTCGGCACCAACTACATCGCCCTCTCCAGGCTCGTCGAGCTGCGGTCCACGCTGTCGCAGATGGTGCTGAGCGAGGAGTTCGCCAACTGGTCGGCGGGGGCTAGGAAGACGACGGCGGATACATTCCGCGGGCAAGTCATGGACGACGCCTGGTGGAAGAACGCTGCGTACCTGGCGGAGCTGTTGGCAATTCCATTCAAGGTGATGCGCGCCACGGACAGCAGTGCCAAAGGGATGATGGGGACTATCTACGACCTAATGCTCCAGCTGACCGAGGACGTGAACGACAAGCTGGAAGCGGGGGAGAAGACCTTGCCGCGGGCGGTTGCGACTGACATTGGGAAGATTGTTCGGCGCCGTTGGGACGAGAGCCTTGCGTGCGCTCTTCACGTCGTGGGGCGGATCCTCAACCCGGCAAATCAGGAGGAGGGTATTTTCCGCAACGACATGGAATGTACCCGCATCTTCAAGGCCTTCATCGCACGTCACTACGACGATAAGACGTTCACCAACAAGGACGGTGAGGAGAGGCGTGCCTCTCTTGTTTTGCAGGAGGGGCTCACGGCCTTCCTCACCCTTGATGGTTCCTTCGGCCTTCCTGAGGAAATTGCCGACAGGGAGGCCGTGAAGGCAGGCAAGCTGTCGATGGTGGCGTGGTGGGGATGGCACGGGACTGACCACCCCCACCTGGCCAGCCTTGCGTGCCGTGCCCTGACACAGCCGGTGTCGGCGTCGCCGTGTGAGCGCGGGTGGGCATCATTCGAATCGGTGCACACTGCCCGCCGCAACAGGCTAGGCTCGGAGAAGCTCCGAGACCTAGTTTATGTGACCCACAACTGGCGTGTGGTCCACAAGTACCACATGTTGGTTGAGTCATTGGCAGTGCTTCCGGGCAACATGCCTGAACCCGCTCTGCCGGAGGGATACAACAAGGAGGAGGAGGAGGAGGAGGAGGAGGAGGGGGAGGAGGATGAAGGCGTGCTGGCCGATGAGTACGTGAAGTAAGAACGGCAGCAGCAGCAGTGTAAGTGGTTCAGGAGCTGGGCATGCAAGAGGAGTAGAGGAGGAGAAGCAGATGAAGGTTTGGGGAGTAGGGGAGTAGGGGAGAAGGGGAGAAGGGGAGTAGGGGAGTAGGGGAGTAGGGCCCTAGGGGAAGTAGTTGCTAGTATGTGTGTACTTGCAATGCATGTTTGTAATGGGGAAAAAAAGTTTCATACGTCGGGAAAAAACCAACTGCACAAGGTCAAAATGAACATAGGCAGCGTGACTCACCCCCCCATACTTTTTTTCCCTGCCCGGAACTTTTTTCCACCTGCCCGGGCGACCGTATTTCGAGCGTATCGTGGGGCTGAAATCGCCCGTATCACGTACGTACGTGAGCGTACAGTACGTACGCGACTGGTACGTGAAACGCGTATTTTGCAACATAGGATCTGATGTGATGTGACGTGATGTGATGTGATGATGTGATGATGTGAGGCAACGGGATGTGACGATAGGTGCGTTGACACAATCTTCAAAGGATGCTGCTCATGGCTGGGTGTTACTTTGCTGCAGCGGGATGTTGACATTACAACAACTAATATTCAGAGTAGGCACCTCATTCCACCGCTGCATGTGATGTGCAAATGTAACGGTGAGGAAGTTTGAGGGATCGGCCAGTACATGACACGTCACTGGAGGGTGGGTGCCGCTTCCTTACCCAGGAATGCTCATTCTCCCACCCACCACCACACCCCAACATCTCACCTCACCAAGGTTAAAACCCCACCCCAGGAATCGACTATATCATTGTCTTTGTGAACCTTGCACCCCACCATCCCACCTCACCACCCCGTCTCACCACCACACCTACCACCACATCTCACCACTGCATGTGGTGTCCGAGTGTGATGCTGATCTCGTCATCCAAAGGAATCGGGCGGAACGTCACCGGAAGGTGCTACTTTCTTTCACCTGCGTTGCTCCTTCACTCACCACCCCATCACCCCATCGCACAATCGTCCCTCACCACCACACTCACCGCTGCAAGCTCTGTGCGTTACGCACTGGAAGATTCTACTTCCCTGGACTCCTCTTTCTCTCACCACTACCTGAGCATGTCACCTCGCCACCACACTCACTGCTGCATGTGATGTGCGAACGCAATACTGATCTCATCATCCAGAGGAATCGGCCGGTAAGTCACAGGGGGAGGTGCCTTTCCGGGCTTGCCCTGTCCTCCTGGTAGAGCCGCAGAACCCTGCTGGGGGAAGGGGAGTGGGAGAGAAGGGGAATTCAAGGTGACTGGTAGGAACAAGTCTTGCCAGGACCTGAAAGGTGCCTTTCTGTGCTTGCCCTGTCCTCTTGAGAGAGTCGTGGAACCCTGCTGGGAAAGGGGAGTGGGAGAGAAGGGGGATTCAAGGTGACTGGTAGGAACAAGACTCGCCACGACCTGAAAAAGGGGGCCTTTCCGGGCTTGCCCTGTCCTCTTGAGAGAGTCGTGGAACCCTGCTGGGGGGGGGGAAGGCGAGTGGGAGAGAAGCAGGATTCAAGGTGACTGGTAGGAACAAGACTCGCCACGACCTAAGGAGGTGCCTTTCCGGCCTTGCCCTGTCCTCCTGGAAGGGTCGTGGAACCCTGCTATGAGTTGGGGGGGGGGGGGGAGGTTGGGTGGGTAAGGGGGGAAGGGATCATTACGGTGGTTGCGGAAAACAGGGGTTCACCAGGGTAGGTGCCTTTCCAGGCGTGCTTTGCCCTCCCGAAACGGCTGTCAAGCCCTGCTGGTGGGGAATTGGGGGTTGGGGGGTTAGGGGGTAGGGGTGGAACGGGAAAGCATAGGGAACGTTGGGAGGGGGGGAAGTGAAGGGAGGGGGGAGAGTGTGGGGGGAGACGGACTCTTTCCACACCAGTACTGTGAGTGCAACAGCCTACGGTACTGGTAAGTATCAAAGCCGCAACAGAATAAACGCGGGAGTAGAAAGGCAGGTAATGTGTTTGCATGCACTTGGGAAGCTGGAGCACTCTCTTACTGGTGAGCCGAGCAACATGGTGTGGCGCGCTTATAAGATTTTATACTGTTGCATTGCTGTTCCATGTCACAAAGCAGAGGCAGGGAGCGCGTTAACAAAGCTGATTGGGAACCCGCAGTGGCTGTGATTATTCCGAAGTATCTCAAAACGAAGATTACTGTAGCGACTATGCGGACTACTGCAGACACAGTATTGCATACTGTAGAAAGAATGTAGCATGTTTCCTGTGAAGGAGAAGCCACTGTCGCACTTACTGTAGCAAGTTCAGTTGACGCAGGTGACGTGGCACAGAGCAGGCGCCACTGCCGGTCCACCGTGGGGAATCGGCTGTGAATGAATAGACACGTCAGCATGGATGGACATTTGAGAGGTCGTGGGATGCAAATATTGATATGAATAGGTGAATAAAGCAATCACATCACGAGAGGAAGAGGATTATGCAGCTGGACCATCCAACGTAAGGAGGCACCACATGTTGGAGGCGAGGCACTGCCACGTGGCGATTCACTGCCACGTGGCGAATCGTGAGTCGCTCACCGCGAGAAGAGGATGCTGCAGGTGGGGTCGGAGGGAGCAGCTGACGACCCGCCGTACGCTTGGTGGTGAGCCACCACCCACACGGCCCGGATGGCGTAATCCCGCCGTTCATCTTCAACAATATCGCCTTCGAGATGCGGCGTTAAGGAGGGAATATAGAACTATGCAAAACTCCCAAAACTCCTTGACTCATTTACTCTGCACATACAATGTGTACAACGAGTCGTTCGCACTGCACTTCCGTGGGATTCCTTTGCCAGGGAGGGATAGAGCACTTTCTGCCGAGTGCTTCCTTCGCAACCATCGGAAGAAGCTCGGGCGCCGTGGGGAATCGAGTATACGATGAGCTGCTACCCAGTCGTCTAGCGACCTCAATGGTCGGTCATGCGACGATAATGATCGTCCATGCGACGATAATGCAGCCAGACGGCTCGAAGAGAGAAATCTGGCTTTGACGGACGGCTAGAATCTTGCAATATTCACGCGAAACAAGGTCTGGTTTGAAGACGACACTGTATAATCACTCGCACATTTTGGAACAATTCCCGCTGCTCGCGTCAGTAACGAATCCTCGATAAAAGGCTCGGAATAAGGACACTAATAGAAACTATCATGCCGCTAATCGCCGAGGCTGGGGGAGTTCGAAGCGCTTTCCTCGCACAAAAGGTGAAAGAAATATGCGGCTTGTTCTAGCTGACGACCAGGAAAGAGAAAACTTGCTGTTGAAGACAAATTGTATTTAGGGGAGTGGTGCATTCCACCCTTCTGCTTGCGATTTGAGCGGAACAGGCAATAACGAGTTACACCGACGAAGTACACCGCCTGACGAGAACTTCACAGTGACGTTTTCGCGACACAATCAGGGCGCGATCTAATCCTAGATGTTATGCGCGTTACAGTTGAGATCTGCAAATCATCTTGACGCAGGTTCAAGATTTTTCCTCAAGCGTAACAGCACCAAACCCATACCCCCCAGCGATGTTGAATAACCGTCTCGTACTGAAATTAGCGGTGCTTTCAAACAACATCCCTTGAGCACAAACGGATCGTTCGCTCGAGCCTCATTGGTCAGCGCTTGAAATCCATCAGCCTCAGATCCAGCCTTTCCAGATATTGCTACACCACTTTTCCTCTCCACCACAAGTTTACAGCTTCATTTTCCCGCCAAGAGCCGAGTAATCGCTCCGTCTGGTGCACATGACAGAAGATCGTTTAGGAGGCACTTGCAAACAAGCGACAGCCTTGCGACTGTTCGCGAAGTTGAGACAAGAGACACACGATGAGGCCATTTCTTCGTCCATGGTTCGCGATTGAATCCATTCGTTGCAAAAGGCGCGATCGTTTAGGGTTTTCCGGGAAGTATTCGCCATCATTGCAGCCATGGCATCTGCAGTGGTAGATCATCCGTACTATCCGCTCGACATCGCCGTCCCTAACTACTCCCCCTCGGGATGGTCCGTCGAAGCGCTCTTCGGAGTCTTCGGAGCGGCTGTGGTTCTCGTGATCGCCGTCTCGTGGCTATTCACCCGTAGGTTCCCTTTTACACGGTTACCTCTAGGACCAAGTTTTAATTTGAGATCGTCTACTGTTACATGGTTAATCGTAGGCCCAGTTTCAGTCCGAGATCCTACCCGTAGGTCCACTGTAACATGGTTATGGTGTTAGGCAAGCTAACGCGGCATTGCGATCTATCGCGCGAAGGCAATGCACACGATGCGACAACCTGCGATCCGTGCGGTTCATCATAGCGTTCCTGCGATTTGTGACATCCATTTGATTTATGGCTCGTGCAGCTCATGCGATTTATACGACTGATTATTATATGAATCTACGACTGATCATGCGCTTTTACGACTGATTGTGCGAATCATGCAATGGACTGTGCGAATTATGCGACAGATCTTGCGATCTTACGACCGAGCATGCGAATCATGCGACTGATCACATTCCTGGCGACTCTCGTCTCCGCCATTGCTGATCCTTCCCCCATCAGTACTCATCCCTTGCCCACGATTCTCATGTTCCCTCCATCCCCACGGCTTCCACCAATATCCTCCACGCGCCAACCAGGATCTTGCCGCCACATGTCAGCTCTGGATAGGGCCACCTTCTGCTGGTGGGCCGTGACGAGCCCATCTTCTTTCCTCTCACCCCCCCACCCCTTAACCTCTCCCCCGCTCTCCCCCTCCCGTCTTTCCTCCACACACCCAATAGGTTCCTGCCGCCACATGTCAGCTCTGGATAGGGCCACCTTCTGCTGGTGGGCCGTGACGAGCCCATGATCTTCTTTTCTCTCTCCCCTTCCCCCTTCGTATCCCCCCTCCCCTACATACCTTCTCCGCGGCCCGTGTTTCCTCCTCTCCTCCCGCCGTCAGGATCTTGCCGCCACATGTCAGCTCTGGATAGAGCCATCTTCTGCTGGTGGGCCGTGACGGGGTCGATTCACCTGGTGCTGGAGGCCACGTTCGTTGCGTTCCCGGACCTCATGAGCAGCACCAGCAACGCCTTCCTTCTTGATGCGTGTACGTGTTGGTTCAAGGATGCTCTTGGGGTTGCGGTGGTGCTGCGGGGTGCTCGCATTGGCGCACGGCAGGCGAGGGGTGCAGTCCTCGTGGTGCTGAGAAGCACGATTGTTGCGCTTCCGAACCTCATGAGTAGCACCGGCAACGCGTTCCTTCTAGTACGCGTTTCTGCCAGACACGTGTATGCATGGGGTTTGCAATTGCTCTTGCGGTAAAGACTGGCATTAGCGTGATGGTGGTGCTTGCATTGCCGCAGTATTGGGCATGGAGTGCAGTCCAAGTGGTGCTGGAAGGCATGTTCGTTGCGTTCCCAAACCTCGTAACCGTACCTTTCCTTACCTTCCTGCCCCCTCCTGATCCTGCACCATCCCTCGCAGCAAGGCCGACTCGCGCTATGCCACTTGTCACTCGCAATGCCTGTATGCTCTCTTGGTACCTCTCCTTACGTTGTCACCTGTCACCGCTCTTCCCTTGGCAGGGAAGGAGTACAGCAAGGCTAACGATCGCTATAGCACACGCTATGGATGTGTGCTTTTTTGTTGTTCCCCGCCATTCTTCTGCCACCCTTGCTCCGCCTTACCCTGTCACTTGCCCTGCGGTCGCCTCACCCCTCACAGGGAAGGAGTACAGTAAAGCCGATTCACGTTATGCCACTCGAGACGGCTGTGTGCTCTCCGTTGAGGCGGTCACTGCTTTCATTGAAGGGCCCGCCTGCTTCCTCATATTGTGCTCGAGCCTCATGTTGTGACCCTTTTGCTGAATTGCCTCTGCTGAATCCGCACCACTGTTAATGGCTGTGTGCTCTCCGTTGAGGCGGTCACTGCTTTCATTGAAGGGCCCGCCTGCTTCCTCATTCTGTGAGTGAGCCATGTGCTGTCAGCCTTACCTTGAGAAGTCTGTAGACGTGATCTGCTGCAGCACATACGGTGTTATCGTCGACTTGCCCCGAGCATTCCCATTCACATTCTCTGACCCACCCCAAGCCCACCCACCCCATCCCTCACAGGTACGCCGTGGTAGCCCGTAAGCCCTTCTCTCCGCTTCTCCAGTTCGCCGTCTCCCTCGGCCAGCTGTACGGCGACGTCATCTACTTCGCGACGAGCTTCCTGGAAGGTTCCAAGCACTGCCACCCGGCCCCGATCTACTTCTGGGGTACTTCATAGCGATGAACGCAATCTGGATTGTGGTCCCCTTTGCCGTCCTCTGCCGCTGCTGGGGGCAAATTAATGCAGCTGTGGCAGCTACATATGCAGCTGGGAGCAGTGGTGTCGGTGGTGGTAGTGGGGGGATGAATGGGGCAGTGAAGAGCAGGCGGGCAAAGAGGGAATGAGCACTGCCACTTGCAATGAATGCAATCTGGATTGTGGTCCCCTTTGCCATCCTCTGCCGCTGCTGGGGGCAGATTAATACAGCTGTGGCAGCTGGGGGAAGGGGCGGTGGTGGGGGGAGTGGCGGGGTAAAAAGCAGGCGAGCAAAGAGAGAATGAATGAACCCAATTCTGTTATACTGACCCCCACAGCTGTTGGGAATGAAGAGCAGACGGGCAAGGGGGAAATGAAATGAACCCGATATTGTTGCACTACAGTACGTAGTCACTTGTTGTAGCTCAATGGATATTGTTGTAGCGGGGGGGGGGGGGGGGGGGGGGGGGGGGGGGGTACTGACGCGATTTGGGCCGTGATTAGCGGCGTTTTGCCTGAGTCAGCAGATGTGCGCGGCGCCACTGCCACTGACCCGTCAACTGAACCTGGCTCACCTGCAATTTCCCCACCTGGCAATGCCGCGCAGCGCCACACACACCTGCTTCGTGCAGGATGTGTGTCCTGCTTGGAAGCATCTTCTTCCCTCCCCAGCAGGCCCCCACCCACCGACCAGTCTCTCCCACGCACCCAACCCAGTCTCTCCTCGTTTCACTTCTCCTGTACTGATCAGTCGCCCCTGCTCTGCGCGTTCCTGAAGAAGCACGGCAACCCGGAGCACCGCGAAGTCACCGTCAACGGTGTGGACCAGAACGGAGACGCTGCAGAGCACAAGTTCGTGCTTCACGAGCGCAAGTTCCCAGGCCATACGACTGGCGGGGACTACTACTCCTGCAAGGCGGTGTGCCAGGAGTTTGCGAGGGTCTGCGTTGCCCGACTGGAGTTCCGCCTGGAAGACCTCAAGGACCTGGCCGGCTCCAAGCTTTTCCGGCCGTCATGCTATCCCGACAACAACGAGGAGCGGATGAAGAAGTGCCGCGAGTGGTTGCGCATGCTTGACCGCATGTTTCGCCACCGCCTCTTTGGTACGCCGCCTGGTTGTGCCTGCAATTTGCTGTCTGCTCTGTGTGTGTGGTTACCTTGGTGTGATGTTAAACACCACACCTCCCATACGCCCCGATCGCCCCTCTCACTGCTCTGCTCTCCCATCCTGGCAGGTGTGTGCTTCAAGGCGTGCGAGAGGGAGCTACCGTTGTTTCTCCACACCATGGACACCAACCACGGCAACATGAGCTTCCATAAGTCGCTCGCGCTCATGCTCCAGTCAACTGACTGGCGGGGAGCCTACCCGAACCTTGTGCAGCTGTGGCAGGCCGTAGCTGTGCTTCCCCTCAGCACGGTGGAGTGCGAGCGCGGCTTCAGTCGCCATAACCGTATCAAGACGTGGAAGCGGACCTGCCTGGGAGACGCCCGACTGGGCGATCTGATGACTGCAGCTCTCCTGCCCAGCGATGGTCTGAACTGGGTGAATGTGGTAGACGTGTTCAATGCCAGCAAGAAGCGCCGTCCGGGCCAGGAGTTTCTGTATTGAGTTGGTATGGTATTCTGCTCCACCATGTAGTCGTGCTGCTGTTATTGTTCTAGTTGTAGGCTTGTAGATGTAGTTCTTTGTTACAACAATACATGATGGTAAGTAAACATATAATGGTACAAGTAATCGAGGTGCACAGCACACTGACGAGCAAGAGTAACACTGCAGCCAACACTGATAAACAAGACTTAGGTGGATGCCCCACCCTTACTGAAAGACCAGCTTTGGCAAACTGCCCTTTCGACCAAGAGTGCTTCCAAACCTATCCAGAGGCCAGCTTGTCAACTTACACCCACGTGAGCTGCCTGGGCCTGCCCTCCAGCGTCCTCCTGCTGCTGCTGAGTCCACTTCATAAGAAGATTGTTAAGTATTGGTATCATGTTGATTGTCTGGCATTTGCGTGTTGCTATTACGCTAACTACGGTAGTTACGAGATTTGTGTAATAAGACACTTAGGGTCTAGTATTGCAACCCTTAGGATTTAGTATGGAAGTCGTTGCTTGTAACGAAGCAAGTCTGGCTATCTCGAGGTTTTATTGGGCACAATAATTCAAGCCCCGCATTTCACGAACGTCGAATTATTGGTGGCTGGCTGTGTGTGATTGTTGTGCATACACCCTTCGCATCGTATTGAACCGAGGAATTCATTGGTTTCCTCGTTCTGAACTCCCTATTTGTGTGATTCATGTGCAGTATCACCCCAGGCCAAGATATTCAGCATGGCGCTCCGCCTTCACCCTTCCATCCACGCTCCGCCCATCTTTGTGAATTCATGTCCGCAACCCTGGAGGGAATGACGGAGCGCCCTGGTTTCGGGTTTCCGATTCCTTTGGGCAGTGGTTTTGACAGCGCCTCGCTTCGCGCTCGCGTCCGATACCTTCGGTCAGTAAATTACGCTATTTTCCCATTTGGAGTCCAGAAACTACAACTTTGTTTTATTTAATGGGACAAAAAATATAAACCCTCATCAGCCCCTCATGCGTATCCGTAGACGCGTGTGTTTGATCCCCCTGTGACGTTTCACTTTACGCACACCCCCGCACAAATGTCATCAGAACAGTTGTCATGTTCGCTGGTTATATCATGTGAGAACACACCCTGTATTGCCGATGGTTGAGTTGGATCAGAGGTTCGTGCACCTGACACTCCGTGTACCACATTGTACATAAATCGTCAGCCTCTGGTATACTCGTATGTTGCATCCTCGCCAACTACATCCTCGCAACTTGTTATGGTGTAAATTCACATACTTGTTTACGGTCTACCAATTGCTTGCTACACTGTTGGCTTGCCCAACCACACAGCTGGGCCGACTCTCTGTCTAGAAGCGATGCCGCCATGTGGACAGTACCAAGCCTCATCTACACAGTGGATGCAATTTCCGTCCAAGACAAATCAGTGTCCGCCAACTGTGACAGTGACGCGTCACATGTCGCGCCATTGGACTGGACTAGGATAGTGTCAAGCAGGTGAACACTCCGGTGTCCACCTGCTTGCACGCCTCCGTCACCCCTACCACAGACCGGAGCGTACTATAACCCTTCATCCTCCCTCTCTGTCTAGCATACGCGAGGCCACCATGGCCACATTGGTGCAGCTTCTAGAGGCATTTCAGGCCCACCCCGATGATGTGTTCTGCTTTGTGGAGACTCCACTGCTCACGACAACACTGCCGTTCAGCTGTAATTTTGACCCCGAATCAGGGTACGCGCCAAAGTGTGAGCTGCGCGTGTGTATTCTGTTCAATGCATCGGGGAGCATAGGCTTACATCCGACAGTAGTCAGGCGACGCAACTTCGCTCGCCCGTACCGTCACAGCCTGCGGGAGGGCGACCCCGTGCATCTTCATCAGACAAAGAGCGAAGTGTTGGCCGCCGAGGTATGTCTAATCGTCTTGCTGATCATATGGTGAGTGCATGTCCGCACGTTGGTGGCTCCAATACTCACAATCCTCGTACGCTTTGCATGACGCAGTTCTTCAGCGAGTACATCGACAACTTCAATGGAGACCAGCTTGCACACAACAAGAGGGCACTTGTTCTTGTCTCAGGCAAGATGCATCGCTCGCAAGACGCGTCGTGTACGGAGGCCGTGATCTTTGGGTTTCGCGTGCAGGAGCTTTCCAACACCCTCATTGTTAACCTAAGTAGTGTCGTAGACCTTGTCAACTTTCCATGGTTCAACGGACTGGTCGAGATGTTCAAGACTATCTACCGCATCATTTACTTGTCCTTCTTAGCCGCAGACGCCGAGTGGCGTGCGAGGGGGTTAATGCCTCTTATTCTGTACGACAACCTGCTAGTCTGGGTGGGAAGATCGTGGCGTCATACTCCGGCTTGGGCGGTGCATCTCACATGGGCCCGGTCCGGCGTTATGCCCCTGGCGTGGCGCGATCTCCTCCACATAAATGAATACCCTCCTATGGCCGTCACTTGAGAGCCCCTCATTCAAGCAGTTGGTACAGCTACAAGTCTTTATCGACCGGTTCGCAAAAGGTGCGCCTGGCTTCATAACCGCTACTGACTATGCTGCTTGTATTCGGTATTCGGCACTCCCTCACCATGCCGTACTCCCCTCCAATGAATGGCATCTCCGAGCGGGCAAATCGGACGATCACGGAGGCGGCACGCGGGTTGCTCATTGAAGCCGGGCTACCCGACTATTTCTGGCCTGATGCAGTGCGGAGCGCGTGTGTGGCCAAGAACAGAGTTTTGACTCATGTGGGAGCAGATAAATGGGTGCCCTATGTGGAGTGGCTTGGAAGGAAGCCAAAGGTGGATATGCTTCGGGTGTTCGGGTGCATGTGCATGGCGCTCGTGCCTAAGAATCTATGGCACAACAAGCTTGGTGCCAAGGCGGTGTGGGCCGTGCACTTGGGCATGGCTCAAAACAGCAAGGGGTGGCTTCTTTGGGACCCATTCACCAAGAAGTTCTTGGTGAGCAGGGACTGCAAGTTCATGGAGAACTTCATGTACAAGGATTGGAAGGCGGAGAATGAGGCGAAGATAGGCGTGCGGTTTGGGGAGGTGAAGAGTTCCGGCTTGGAGCACGTGGAGCTGCCTTTGGAGCTGAGCAGCGGCAGCACCACCACAAGGCAATCTTCCCTTGTGAATGGGGGAGAGGAGGCCAAGGATGCAGAGGAAGAGGAGGAGGTGCAGCAAGTGAGCGAGCGTGCACCGACACTTCCTACCCGCACTACGAGTGCTCCACGGAACCGAGCTACACCGCAGCAACGCCAAGGCCTTCAAGTCCCTGCAATTGAGGAGGAAGGAAGGGTCAAGAGGAAGGTTCAAGCCCCCAATAGGCTGACCTATGATGCGCCAGGGAAGCAGGGCAAGACGGCCCTAGCTGGAGCGGCAATGATGGTCGGAGACGACGAGGAGAGTGACTACGAGGAGTGTGCCTTCGCGTTCTTCTCTCCGGTGGAGATGCCGGGAGAACCAGCAACTCTCAAGGAGGCCTTGGAGAGTAGTGATGCTGAGGAGTGGAAGAAGGCAATGGAGAGTGAGCTGAAGAGCATCGAGGAGAACGACACATTTGAGTTGGTGGATCTACAGGAGGGGCGTACGGCGATTACGTCCAAGTGGCTCTTCAAGATCAAGTCTGACGCCGACGGAAAGATCGAGCGCTACAAGTCTAGGCTGGTGGCCAAGGGGTACCAGCAGAAGGAGAATGTGGACTACAAGGAGCTGTTTGCTCCTATGGTGAAGCCGACGCCGCCGCGAACTCTACTCGCGGGAGCCGCGATCAAAGGTTGGGTGGTGAAGCCGCAGTACATCGTAACGGCGTTCCTCAACGGAATCCTCGAGGAGGAGATTTTCATGGCGCAGCCAGAGGGGTTTGACGATGGCAGCGGCAGAGTGTGGAAGCTGAAGAAGGCCCTCTATGGGCTGAAGCAGGCCTCTAGACAATGGTACCTGAAACTGTGTGAAGTGTTGGAGAGGATCGGCTTACCTCCCTCAACGGCCGATCATTCCTTGTTCATGCTTGGCGAGGGGGAGCAGAGGAGCTTCATGGTGGTGTACGTGGACGACATCCTGATCTTCTCACCCTCCTTTGACCTTGTGAAGGAGGTGATGCTGAAGCTTCAATGCAAGTTCAAGTGCAAGTCCCTTGGGGACGTGAACTTCTACCTCGGACTTAACATCGAGCGTGATGTGGAGAAGCGGTGCATGCGGGTGCACCAACGAAAGTACCTGGAGGCATTGGCTGCCAACTTTGGGCAGAATGAAGGCCATGTGGCTACACCCTTTCCCTCTGGGTTCAAGTGTGTGAAGGGACCAGAGGAGGAGAGCGTGGGTGAAGAGGAGAGGCGCAATTTTCATTCATTGGTGGGCAGCCTCATGTACGCGGCAGTCAACACACGACCGGATGTCGTGTTTGCTACCGGGCAGCTGGCTAGGGTGGTGCAATGCCCTAATGAGGAGCAGGTAGCAGCTGGAATGAGGGTGGCCAAGTACCTTGGCCA